GAACTTTGCGGCGATCACTTTTGCGGCGCGAACTTTGCGGCGCGAATTTTGCGGCGCGAACTTTGCGGCGCGAACATTGCGGCCGAATTTTGCGGCGCGCACTTTTGCGGCGCGAACTTTGCGGCGCGAACTTTGCGGCCGAATTTTGCGGCGCGAACTTTGCGGCGCGGTTTTAGTTTCGTTTATATGTTGATTAAACCGTGTTTTACGAATATTGGAAAATTTACTTTATTTCGATCAATTTTTTCCCAAAAACTTAGTCATCCCAATGATTAAAGTTGTTTTGGCCTAGGCGGTACTGAACGGCAAACAGGTAAGCGAGGATTTGAGCATCAGTAGGGTTCGCTAAATTGTTATAGCCATTGACCAGCTTATTTATAGCTTCGTCGTTGGCAACATATGCCTTTTTCCGGGAATGCAGGACCACAGGTTTGGTGGGATCAAGTAGACGGGGCCGCAGCTTTTCGGTGGCAATTTGATCCTCGGTCTGGAGAATCGTAATCACCCTGAACGTTGGCTATGGGCGCAATTCGGGGCTTAGTTTACTTGGAAAGAGTAGGGTGACTTCCGGGAAACCGTTGGTTGAGCGCTCGATGTGTGCCTTCCTGGAATAGTTTGTTTTTGAAGGCGGCGAAAAAGGCGATTCGAGTATTCAACAAACTTGTGCATTGTTCGTCCGTCCGAGCTCTCCGTCGAGTTGTGTTTCAAAGTGATTCCAAGTATCTATCGGGAACATCGGGGGGACGGTTGTTTTGGCCGTCCACATAATTCCTGGAAGCTGTAGGTTCCCTGTAAAGAAAATACCTTTTGAAATAACTAAAGACGGACGAAGGATCGATACGTCGTGCTTGCGCTTGAGCGTTATTGACATAAGTGCTTAAATCAAGATTTCCTAATTCTTGAAGAAGGAGGTCAAAGGCGTAGGAAACATCATTGACGGGAAGCAGAGATAGTGCAGCCAAAGAGCGCACTAATTTCCGGTATTCCTCATCTTCGTCATAAATTGGCACTAAGCCATTCTTTTGGACGTGACGGTGCAGGTTTTGTCCCAAGTGAAATAGACATTGACGAATCCTTATTCCGGGAAAAACGTTTGATAAGCATTTCGAGCGCCTGTATTGTATTATCAATGATAAAAATAGCTAATTACCGATTTCGAAGTCAAGCATCACAGAAGCGGGGCCTCCAATGACCAATACTTGCAGAGCGTCCAAGACTCTGGTGTAGCTTTCCTGCGACTTGTCAGACATAAGGACAAACGCGCTAGGAATGCTGGAGTGGTCGACAAGTACATTGATGGTGTAGAGTTGAAATAAGTTTGCCGGCGATACTAAAAATGGAGAGATGGGAACACAACCTACTTTTGAACGTTCCGTCGCTACACCATTCGTGAATAGTCCGCAAGCGTTCCAAGCCAGCGTCTGATGCAAAAATAAAATAGACAGGTTCGTCGGGCTCATTTGTACGGCTATCGGCACGAAGAAATGGTCCTCCAGCAGAATCGAGAGCGAAAGCTCCCTGGAAAATTTAACGATTGTTGTAGTTTTGGGCTGCGAACCTCAATAACGATCGAGTCAAGGTCGGCCGCATCGACGTTCCTTCTTCCCGGGATTTCTCGTTGTTTTTGTACGATACGCGCAGCAGTTACGGGTTTGAACTTAGTTAGGGCGTCATTACTAAGCCCAGCCGAGGCCTGCGCCACCAGTTCCTGCGTACCAGTGCGGGAAGTACCAGCAGCCTCCTTCATCGCCTCCATAGCTTCCATCAATTCGACTTTTGTGGAGGAGCGACGGTGATTGTGCCCTTTCAAAATGTTAAGGTTTTCACTGCCTAGGGCCGAGTGGGCCCGGGCTGGACAGGTTTTTTTGTACGCACACCCACACTTGCGTCTGGCCATTTGCAATAACTTCCTTCTGCCTCCATATATATCCTTGAAAAACGGTCCCTGGTCGCCGCTTGCTGGTCCGAATCGCCATAGCGGCAAATGCAAAACAAAGCGCGAAAATTCCGATCCATTTGAATCGCATTTATCTAAGCTATAATTTTCTAAAAAATAAATTTTTTTTAAGAGATCAACTGCTTTTAAGCGATGATATATATATGTCTGGAGCTTTCATTTAATTAAATATAGTTTATCCTTTAAGCGAGAAAATGTTATGCAAATTTGTGTAATATGAATGATAAATTATTAAAAAAAATGACAGATGAAGGAAGAAAAATATGAAAATTGTTTCGTTAATTAAATACATTCAAACAGCTGGGTGTTACGCTGCTGACCGCTGATCGTATAGAGCAGAAGCATGCCGATTCCTACATTATTGTTCCGAATTTTGATCTGTTCGCCGTTGGGAGCTAGATTTAGGTTATGTTTTTTTCTGCAAAAATCATGCTCACCTGACATGCAAATTTCTTCTTTTTCCTTTTTCAGTGCCTCTTCGACTTTCTCGAAGAAGTGCTTTTTTCCGAATTGCTCCACATTCAAGGCGAACTCGGTCTCTGACAGTGTGAAACGCATGGGAAAGAACCCTTGGAGCGCTTCTTTGGTTTCTGAAGAAAGTATTTTAAAGTTTATTTAAATTTGATAAATTTTTTATTTTAATCTAGACTAGCTCCAAAAACGTTTATGCCCCGCCCCCAATAAACAATAACTCTATCCTTACCTGTTTCGTCCGGATCGGTCAAGGCTTCCACGATCATTTCCACGGCAAATGCCACCGCACCACCCAACGTCGCAGCCCCTCCCATCGCTTTTACCGTGTTCCGTTTTAGCATCTCCGCGATGCTGCGCCCGATCGGTCCTCTGTTTGAAAATGATGGCATCCTCGGCATACGGCACTGCGCACCGCCAATCGAGGCAATTAAAATCAGAAGCAGACCGGCTTTGAACATGACGCCCTAAAAAAGTCGAATACAGGCGTCTTGTTGAAACAACACCCATCGCCCTCGAACTCGACGCAGAAACGAATCGCTATGGCAGTTATGCTATTCAAAAGCCCATGAGACCGCGAAATTCAAACGGTTTTAGTAACTTACTACCGTTTTTAATACCGTCTCAATATCGACTTTGAATGGTTTAACTATCACACCGTTCCGACAATTCTGCTTCGAGTTAGAAGCAGCATGTTGTTTCATGGGACACTGTGTAAGAATAATCGAAAGGGGAAGTGATTCGGGTTTGCTGAGGGGGGGTGGGTGGGAAGGGAAGTTGGTTTAGTACTGAGCGGATAATTTTGGGGTATATATACCCCTGACACGCTGGTCCCGCCTCCTTGACCCCGAGGGAATTATCGATAATTCCCACATTCAAAGTTGGCGCCAAAGCCTGAGAGGGGTCACACATGTTTAATTTAAAAATTATCTCGGAAACGGCACGGAAATATGTGTGCAACATATTTTGTGTTGAAAAAAAGCGTGTCTCACGATTCATCCGCCGCCTTAACAGTTCGCGCCGCAAAATTCGCGCCGCAAAATTCGCGCCGCAAAGTTCGGCCGCAATGTTCGCGCCGCAAAGTTCGCGCCGCAAAGTTCGGCCGCAAAGTTCGCGCCGCAAAGTTCGCGCCGCAAAGTTCGCCGCCGCAAAATTCGCGCCGCAAAGTTCGCGCCGCAAAAGTACGCGCCGCAAAGTTCGCGGCACC